GAGGTACCATAATATCCAGGTTCATGCGAGCATCTGCTCTACTTCCTGCTTAAAGAAAAAGTCTTTCCCATTATACAATTGCAGTTGGATACATTCTTGGGCCAAGGAACATGTCAGCAATGCCTTCCTGCTAGACTCTTGATGGCAACGAAATGAATTATTAGTCATGCAAATGCCACATCAGTTCTCCTGGACCCTAACATATTCCAACCAAGGAAATTTCATCCCCATTGGTATTCAGCTACTCACACCTTCTGAAGACAATGTTCCACAAATATCTTTAGCTATCATTTGTTGTGCCCCTCCCTCCAGTGTTTGTTTTCTCTTACTCCAATAACACCTCTGACTTTCAGGTACCATTCTCTTTACTCTTAAACCTTCAAATACCACATGCAACTCACTGACCTTAACCTCCTACCTCATCACTTCTTTTCCTTAATCCTAGCACACACTTTTTCTGATTTTTGTAAAACCTCCAATACCCTGGCTTGTCCATTTCCTTTCAAGAGGCAGTCAACATCATGGTTTTTATTTGTTTGTTTGTTTGGTCTTTTCTTTTTCCTGGGCACAAGCTCAGAGTTTATTTTCCTCCCTTGCAGCTAGGTGAGCCCAAACAACTAAGTTGTGTTCAACAAAATGGAAATGATGTGTGTCACTTATGGGCTGGTTCTTAAAAACCTCCCTTGCCCAGGCTTCTGTCTTTCCCATCTGCTGGAAGAATGAAATTTGCAGGTTCTATGCAGGAGAAGGTGGAGAAGGGAGATTTTGGAATCTCTGGAATTCCAGAACCCAGTCTGTTACTAACCGTGTGAAGCAACGTATCTCCTTGCATCTTGATGACCTTCATTGAATTGTTACAGCAGGGTGAATTAAGTTTGTATTATGCCAATCTACTGAAATCCTGAGGTTGTTTGTTACTTGGTTAAACTATCCCGATTAATACATCAATTAAAGCTACTCATAGATTACACAGTCCTTTACCTCAACCTGTCTCTCTTAAAAACTCTAACTCATCTTCTCTCTTGACCTTCCATGCTGCCTCCCTAGAAAACCTCCAGCTCAGAATATCAATTCATTTGTCTGTGTTCTCAGCTTTATGCCTCCCTCCAACTGTAGATCAGAAGAGCAATTTACAAAGTCAAGAGAACTTGTGCTATCACTGGACCCTCAGATAGTCCCTAACATGCACAGGACCTTCCATAGTCCAACTCTCTGACAACTTCCTCCAAGTTTCTTGAGCTCTTAGAAACATCGAACTATTGACCATTCCCTCCTTGACACATTCTCTCCTTTTAGCTTTTGTTTGACCAGTCTCCAAGTTTTCCTGCCTCTCTCATCACTTCTTAGTTGCCTTTTCAGTTCCCCATTCAGTTCCAGTTCTTCTTTCTCCATTATGCTTTAAGTTCTATATTCCTTTCCATGTTCTCATCCTTTGGAGGCGGTCTCATCTACTCCCATGGCTTCAGCTACCATGTATTTATTGACAACAGTGAAACATATCTCCAGTGTACATGAGTCCTGAACCTCAAACCCCAATGATATTTCCAATAAGCACAAACATTCAAAATGAAATCAGCATCTTCTTCTCTCATCTCCCCTGACACCTGCTTCGCCTTCTTCTCTTGCACTACCTTTGTCAGTGCATCTCCTTAGCCATAAGCCTAGAAGGTGACTTAACTCCCTGAGAACTCTTTATAACCTTCCAATCCTACTCTCTGAATATATTTTGAATCTGTCCCTTCTGCCAAATACTACCTGCAACCAATGCTTTTTTCACCTGAATAACTTCAAAAACATCCTCACCAATTCCTGTATCTCTAGTTTCACTCGTTCAACTATTCCATTACAGACTTTTCTAATGTAAAAATCAGTTGAGTTCCCTTTCCTATTAGAAATCCTTCCATGGCTCTCCAATACTTTTGGAAGAAAGAGTTCTCTGTCTCTTCTGGACTTAGATACTTTTATCCAGCTTCTCACTGGACATTTTTATTTTGAACGCCTACCGTGACTTATACTCAGAAAGCTACCTTTTTTTACTCTGGATCCCAAACTGACTTCACTATGCTCCTTTCTCCATGAAGAGGGGCACCATCTTACTTGTGCCTAAATCATAAATCTTGATGGCACTGAAGACAACCTCCAGTTCTCTCTCCAACATCCAGTTTATCACAGATATTTTGGATTCTTCCTACTTAATAGTTCTTGAATTAATCAGCTTTTCCTCAAATTCAGTACAAACACCCAAACTTGGATCACCACAATTTTTCATCCACATCAGCCTTCTAACTAATCTTTTTCCAGTCTTGTCTTGCCTTTGAAGCCTTTGTTAATGTGATTATCAAATGTTAATATAATTGTGCTTAAAACCTCACTATGATTCTATACTGCTTTAAGCAACTTAAAAATAGCTTTAATGAAGCTTATGTCCTACATAAGACAAAAAATAGTAAATAATTGTTTCAAATAATAAAATGTAATTGATAGTGAAAGACACTGGGAAGGGAAGGTAACTTAAAATCTGGTGATCCAGGCTGGCCTCTTTCAGAAGTGATGTTTTAGTAAGACCTGAAGGGTCATAAGTAGCTAGCCTTGGAAAAGGAAGTGGACATCAGTTTGCTTACTTACCCTCATCCCTGCTGGGCTGTGGGCTTCCTGAGCATAAGGCCTGTGATTGATGCATCATCATACTTCTCTAAACACCCTCCACAGATTTTGGCACACATAGGTTTTGAATACATGAGTCAAAGGATGAATGAACATTAAATTTAAAATTTTGAGCAGTTCAGCTTTAGGTAAATTATGTGTTCACATTTTTTTGGTACATTTGCTGACATCAACTTGTGAAATTATTAAAATTTCACAGGCAGACATAAACAAATAGGATTTAGACTTTAAAGAAGAGTTTGCCTTTCTTAAATCCTTCTAAAATATTTCAGAACAGATGCTGCACAACAATATCCTACAACCAGGAGCCCTAAGAGGATAGCAGCATGGATGAATCACTTTCTAAGATGCTGCAGGGTGTTTCAGCCCACCAACCATAAAAGCCAGCACCAGTCAGAAGGCTGGGCTCCAAGACTCCCCAGGTTTGAGCCTGTTAATAGGCAAAACTGTTTTCATATAAACCCCAATCAACAGCACACGCTCTTTATGAACAGATTCATAAAGAAAAAATTTCAAGTCATTATGGCTTATTTCTGCTAAGCAGGAAGAACTACAAAGGATCCTTTAACATGTATTGTATCTTGTATATATTATTGGATTTGATTCTGAAAATAACATATTCTGGTTCATAATCCCTTGCTTGCAAATTGAAAGGTTTTTTTTTTTTTTAAAAAAAAGCAAATTTGGCAGCAAAACCTGATCTAATGTGAAAGGATTTATCTTTTATTCAAAAGTTTACTTGGTGTGACTATTCCTTTGTTTCACTGCAAAAATAGAATATGTTTCATTATAGAGTGTTGTCTCTAACTTCACAAAAATGTAGGGTAATATATGATATAGTCAATGTATTGCTTTTCTAAAGTCCAAAATATTCTGACCTTCACGGCATGTTTGGCCCCAGAAGTTTTGGATAAGGAATCTATATTCCATTATAACACTCACCCAATTCTATTATCTTGAGATGTAATACTTCCACGTGTGGACTTTGAAGTATCCAGCAAAAGTAAAGTCATGGAAACCAATTAGCATGATTTGAGCATTTGGAAGTAATATAACTGAAAGCTGTTCCAAGTTTCCTCTGATTTAAAGTATGCATTTATGCTATTGCACTACTGCTTTTTCTATATGTATATACTTCTATGAGCTAAGAGATGCTTCTGACTAGGAGAAAACTTTTATAGGTAAATCCTTTACATCATATCTAACCATAATCTGGGCATTGCAGACATCAGAATAACTGCCACAGCTTCTAATTTTCCCAGGTGTTTTATTGTTCTCACTTTATAACTTTTATAATTTTCTTGTACTAAAACTTTTTCTCCCAAGAATTTGAAGAAACAGCACCTAACTTCTGGGAGTAACATTTCTATTCTTTACAGGGCACATATCTGGTAATGGGCTGCAAACCTCATTATATATATCATTTCTGAATCCCACAATGACCCCGAGAGATATTTTCTATTCCTCCCATCACACAGCTGAGCAAACTCAGGCACAATTTGTCCCAGGCCACATGACTCCTAAGTGACAGAACAGAATTTGAACCTAGAACTGTCTAGGTCCAAAACCTGTGTCTTCCCAAAATATCATGGAGCAAATAATTGACCCATGCTCCAATCTCATTCTCAACCTGTGCATAGTTGGAAGACTAAGCCTGCTTTATCCATGGTAGAAATTAGAGTTTAATTTTTTTTTTCTAAATGCCTATGACTAGTCATTTGACAATGTTTCTACACTTCCATAAAAGAAGACACAATATCTGGTTTTCAAAGATTTAACTCTATAGCCATATAAAATGACCATCAATATAACTTTGCTTTTCTGTTTTATTATTTTTTAAACAAATGCAAATAATTGGAATTGGGTAGGCTTATTGACAAACACAGCAAAATCAGATATTCAATATTTACCCACCTTTCAGAAGTATCATCTACATTTATTGGAAATATTATCATACAAGGGGAAGAGAAATGCTTACACTTCATAACAACATAGCAAAAAAGGACAGAGATGAAGATCATTAATGATTTTAATTATTTTAAGGCCCATTAAAATTAGAGAAACATCAAAGCACCCACAGTGTTAAGGGTTTATTATTATAGCATTTTAGAATTTACTAGTTCATACCTTTCAATCACAGCAAGTTATTAGCAGTGAAGGGATGAACCCTCTTAAGAGGATTTTTATTTCAATGATAGGGTGTTATGGACAAGACAACCTAAGTTTAAAAAAAATTAGTAGCAAGCGCTAGTCGAGTTAATCAGTTAAAGACAAACTGTGCCCTTGGGAAGCTAAATGAAAAAGCAACAGTAAAGCTTACAGAACTTAGCTCGTACAATTTGCCTTGAAGGCGGAAGATTGGTTCCCTGAAATAGCAAAGAATTATATGCTTTAGTTCAGAAAAAAAGTTTTTAAAATAAAGTCTGTTATTACCTCTTCTCCTTTCAAAACAATGGGGAAAAAATCTAGAGCAGAGGTTTCAATTTGTTCAATAATTGTACCTCTGAACGTTTTTTAAAAACTGTAAAACCATCATTGTTTTGACTTGAAAAGAAATAACAATGCAAATATTCATTATCACATAAACATAAAAGAAACAGCAAACTGTTGAGTTAATACAATCTCTGCAGAGCGCTATTAGTCAGAGACAGCTGGTCAGCCCAAAAACACAAAAACTCGAAAGATCAGATCTTCTTAGGAATTAACACGTTCATTAACCAACAGGAATTTAGTGTGGCAGAGATTAAATCCACCAACTGCCTTCTTCTTGAGCTGTCCCTTCACTGATACCAAGCTGTGCAAATGTGTGAACTAGTCAGCAGCCCCAGAAAGCTCATGCAACTACTCACCACATTTTAACCTTCAACTGACTCACAAATTCAATGTTAAATTAAACTTAGGGGTAATATAAGCAAGCAAAATAGGACACGAGGAGTCAAATTTGAAATGCAGAGCAAGTAGCAGAAAGGTTATTTAAAATAAATCATTATGGTTAACTGCAGAAAATAGCCCAAAAAAATGCAATTCGCTCCAAAATTTTATAAAAGCAAAAACAAAATAAAATGAAAAGCTGCATTTCAAGCAAAATTTGCACATGATTAATTTGCATTAAAAAAATAGTCAATCAAGCGATTTAGTTCAAATTCTTTGGGGCATGCATACACTGATTCTCTTATGCAATTCCTACCTGATTTCCAATTGTGGTTTTCTTGTGAACCTGACTGCTCCTCTGCTGAGCACTAAGAAAAGCAAAGGAAAGCAGCACTGAAGAGACACATACGATTTTTTCCTGAACAAGTAACAAATACTAAAATATAAACAGGCTTAAAAGAAATCAATGGAGGCAGACCTAATACTGAAATTCCAGGTGAGTTTAATTCTGTAAGTAAAACCAACTCAGTGGGACTCCTAATAGCACATAACTCCTAGTAGCACATAAACCAAAAATATAATAACACCACTGAAAGAAGAGCAGCATTGTACCATTAATAACATATGAGTTGACATATTTTCAATGTCCCACAGGTAGACAAAAAAGTTGTAAAGGAAATTAACTTAATGCTTATTGAGTATATACCATGTTCTAAGTGCTTTATAGATATTAATCATTTTTATTCTCACAGCAACCCCATGAAATAGTTATGATTATTCTTGTTTCATAGACGAGGAGAGAAGCTAAGCGACTTTCTGAAAGTCACTCAGCTAATAAGTGATAGTACCAAGTAGTATGGCTCCACATCACAAAGTCTTTGTGATATCCAGTCTCATTGCTTTGAATTCCAATATATTCTGACAACTCCTTTAATGCATCCCTGGTTTGGATCTGCCATGTAGCTCCAAACATGTATAAGTCCCAACTCTGGACTCATTCATGTTTTTAACAACTTAACATCAGCACTTGGGTATCTAATGGGCATATCATTCTTAATATGTCAAAACTGAACTCCTGAAATCACCCCTAAAATTTGCTCCATCCACAGTCTTCCTTCTTCCTCTTAATTACTGGCAATTCTTTTTTTTTTTCTTTTGAAACTTAATTTTCAGTTCTAGACATGGTGGCTCAGTTCATGAATCTTGTCTTTTTTTTTTTTTNTCACCGCAACCTCCGCCTCCTGGGTTCAGGCAATTCTGCCTCAGCCTCCTGAGTAGCTGGGATTACAGGCACGCGCCACCATGCCCAGCTAATTTTTTGTAGTTTTAGTAGAGACGGAGTTTCACCATGTTGACCAGGATGGTCTTGATCTCTTGACCTCGTGATCCACCCACCTCGGCCTCCCAAAGTGCTGGGATTACAGGCGTGAGCCACCGTGCCCGGCCAATTACTGGCAATTCTATACCATAAGTCCAAGTGCTTAGGCCAAAATCTTTAACTCCTCTTTCTCTCACAACCCATATCTGACCATCAGAAAATGCTGTTGACTGCTTTCTTATATGTAACACATATAACATTTAACCATCTTTTCATCACTTCTATTGGTCCCACCTTAGTCCAAGACACTGTCATCCCTCAACTGGATCACTGTAATCATTTATTCTCTGGCCTCTGCTTCCACGCTTGTCTCCCTGATGTCGATTCTTAACAGACACCAGAGTGATACTTTTAGAAGGACTGTGTCACTCTTCTGCTCAAAACCCTCTACTACATCAACAACACTATTCCACTTAATGGTAAAATCCAAAGTCCATACAAGGGTCTACAAGGCCCTACTCAAGCAACCCCCACCCCTGCCTCTTTGACTCATCTCCTCCTACCCTTCACCTCATTCCCTGAAGAGTTCCAGTCATACTGGCGCCTGCTCTTTTTCAAACCCACCCACCACATTCCCACTTAGAGTGTTTTAGCAAGCTAGCTGCCTAGGATATGCGTCCCCCTTTTATCTGCATGGTTCCCAACATCTCCTTCAAGTCTTGCCTATTCTGACCACCCTATTTATAGCTGCATCCCTCCCTTCCTCCAGGACTGTCATCCACATTATCCTGTTTGATTTTTCTATCTGGCATTTCTCACCAGGGTGTATTTATTTTTTGTGTTTGTCTGCCTCTTTCCATTAGACTATAAGCTCCTCATGAGCAGGTATTTGTGTCTGTTTTGTTCACTGCTATATCCCCAGGGCCTACAAAGGACGTGGCACATGATTGGCTTCACGAAATATCTGTTGGATGAAAAGCCCAATGAGGTTGATGCCATTGTAACCCCCATTTTGGACATACATACAGTGGGTTAAAAGCCAGACAGGACTCCAACAACTTAACAGAGCCCACACATTTCATCACCAGGTTACTCTATCCCTCAAAAGGAGAAAGGCTTTCTTTTGATAGATCCATGAATAAACATCTATCAATATAAGAAATACAACTCATTTTGGTTATTCTGGGAAGATCAGCAATACTCAGTATTCTTACAGGCTATTTAATAGTTTGTGGAAACTGTTTTGGAGATGAATGAAATAGTCTAAAATAGAGAAAAGGAAGACTAAAGACCTCAGTTAACTGTTTAAAGTGATGGTATGTTATGTTGCAGTAACAAGTTAGAAATCAATACCACACTTGGAAGGCTAGTCAAAACAACAGCTTTTAATAAACTCCTCAGATACATTTAAGCTGCTTTCCTTCACTCAAACTCATGAAAAAACACTACATTCCACTGAGGGTGGGCAGGGGGTGAGTGGTGAAAGGCCACACTGTATTTGGTTGCTAAAAATATTTTGTGTATATTTTTGGTTTTCAATTTTAAATTTGCTAATTTCAACTTCTTCCTTTCTTTTAATTTTTCTAGCTTTCTGTTACATGGTTAATCCTCTTATTTTACCATGAAATTATTTCCTCTTTAACTATTTCTCTGAACAATCTAAATCTACATTATTCAGGTCTGGTAGGTGAGGCTGTGAAAGAGGTAACCAGGATCCAATGTGCCCACACCGCCCTCTGGCTGCCCTCATGCCCTGGCACACAGAGCATCTTCAGTATCACTCTCCTAAGTGCTTCGGATCTCCTCCTTACTTTCTTTTCCACATTAAATGTCACCTTTCCAGTGTCCTCCAAGCTCCCCAGTCTTCCAGGAATAAATGGAAAAACTATTATAATGAGATCATGACATCTTCATAGGTCATGGTTATCTCTTCCAAGCACCATAATTGTGTTTAAGGAGAAATGTTTTTACTAAAGCACTGACTAGTAGTGAAAACTTCCAAACTGTTGTAGACCCACAGGTATTTACTTTGAACAAATTATTGGGGATTCTTAAATTATGTGTCAGTCCCCTTCAAATCACTTAAGGGAAAAGAAGCTGAACATAAAGCAAAAGGCAGAGATTGTTAATGACTCCTGTGCTACCTATGGCAAAAAGTTTGATCAAAATGGACTTCAGTCTCTCAGCTATAAAACGTGTATGTGTGTGTCATAAGAGAGACAGACAGAAACGGAGGTAGAGAGAAGGGCTAGGGAACTAAATGAGCTGTTTCTTAGGTTCCTTTTAGGTCCAATATTGCTTGAGATGCAAAATTACTCTCAGAAGCTTATTAGCTACACTAAAGACCATGTCCATTGACAGAGTTTCCATCTATGAAATAATGCATATTTAGGATCTACCACTTGTAATAATATGCAGAAAGAAAAAATTTACTTTATAAGCCCATCTTAAATACTAGAGTTAGAAAAAACACTAAGTTGCCTCTATTTTCCACCTAAAAAATAATCTTTTTGCAGCAATTGGCCCCATAAACTTAAACATTCTATTGTAAATGATGTATTTAGCTATTTGAGGTTACTTCAAAAACAACAAAATAAAAAATAGCCTGCCTACTTAGAATAGATTCTTTGTCATAATTCTTCGGTATGATATAATTATTGAACTGAGAGTATTTCAAAGCATGTATTTAAAACTGTGTTCATGAGGAAACCTGCAAGGACTTGCAAGTTAACTTGAGCCCTTGGACATGTTCTTGGATATAGTTACTTAACTAACTTTGAAATATTATAAGATATACCTATATATAGTGTTTTCATTTAACATAAATCAAAAACTGAAGGGCATCAACTCTGTGGAAGATAAAAATATGAATAAGGTATGGTTCTTGTAATCGAAAGCCTATGATTTGTCTGGTACAAATAATGATATGCATACATAAAAAAATAACAAATAACTAAATCTATATGAATAAATATGTGAGGATGTAATAGAAAGCCAAAAAAAGTGCTTCTGTTTTAAATGTGGGATATAATTACCCATATCTTCTTCTTATGTGTGTGTGTGTGTGTGTGTGCATACACACATTTGTTGTTGATCATATAAATTCCTACTACACACAAGTCACTGTGAAAGGCTCTGCCAGAACACTAAAACATAGAACCAAATTGGTGTATGCTGAGACACAATTATTATAAAAACATATAACAAGAAGTTTAAACTTAAAAAAAAAAATAAGAGTATATTAGAAGACAATCAGAGAACCCCTAATGTTACCTCTTGGCTCAAATCCTTTTTGCACAGTCTCTTCTATCCTTGTCTATGATGTGTTACCATTTATCAGATAAATCCTATACCATCATAATTGTTATGTTAGAATATTTAGAGACGCCGGGCGCGGTGGCTCAAGCCTGTAATCCCAGCACTTTGGGAGGCCGAGGCGGGTGGATCACGAGGTCAAGAGATCGAGACCATCCTGGTCAACACGGTGAAACCCCGTCTCTACTAAAAATACAAAAAATTAGCTGGGCATCGTGGCGCAAGCCTGTAATCCCAGCGACTCAGGAGGCTGAGGCAGGAGAATTGCCTGAACCCGGGAGGCGGAGGTTGCAGTGAGCCGAGATCGTGCCATTGCACTCCAGCCTGGGTAACAAGAGCGAAACTCTGTCTCAAAAAAAAAAAAAAAAAAAAAAAAAAAAAAAAAAAAAAAAAAAAAAAAAAAAAAAAGAATATTTAGAGGCAAGAAATATAATTTCAGGTGATATGATCTGAGATGTTTGCAGCAAACTTGAAAAGAAGACAAACTTTAATAAAGGAAGACACCTGACTACATTTTAAGAGAATAGACTGGTATTAGCAAAGCCGGGAGGTAGAAAAGCCATAAGGCATATGGGGAAGTTATGGAGAAAAAAACTATTAGGGCAGAATTATCCAATCATAGACTGGGGTTTGTAAGTGACCTTAAAAGCCATCTAGTACAATTACTGTATGCTGGGGCCAATTATGGAGAATTTGGCTGTTACTCTGAAGTCAGCAGAAAACATTCAATGTTTC